TGATCGTAATTTAATTGTATCAAGTATTAATAGATGGAAGAGAAAATATTATATAAATTAAACATTTTATGATCTTTAAAATTAAATAACATAATTTAGAATTTATTTAGTTTAATCTAGTTGTTCATAGATGGCGCAACTTTTAATTTAGTATGCAACTCAAATTTCCCTGCGTAGTGAAAAGTAGAAAAACATATCGTCTCGTCTGTCATCAATTTTTCTGCGACCATACTTTGAGAATCACTGACTTAGAAAATGTTATGCTTGCATATGTTTGAAATATTGATTAAATTGGGAAAAAAAAATGTATTTTTGGGTTCTCAAGTCATTTTTACCAATATATTATTATTAAATCAGATAATTACACATTTAGACCAAAGACTTTATTTTACTATTATTGTAGAAAATAATTATTTAAATATAAATATATAATTTGGCAATGAGAAAAAAATTCAGAGAGAGTTAAATATTTTGTTTTGTATTTTATCATTGGAAGATTGGATTTTTTTTATTATTAAGTGTGCAAAGTTACCAAAAGTAACTATTTGCTAGTTACATATATCTTTTAGGTTGGTGTACATTCCAGAATGTCATATTCATATTTAAATTGCGATTGTCTTTTGTAAATAATAAACAGGTCAGTCATTAAAAAAAAACAATAAAAAAAGGGAGATATTAGAAATTAAATCAAAATCTTCAAGGAGTGAAGAAGTAAAATGCGAAGAAGAAATCAACATCATATAGCAAGTAATGAAGTTAAGAGTGTAACGTGTTATATTTTAGCAAGTCGTGTTACTTGGCAAGTAGCTTTAGACTACAGGTAAATGTCTATTATACTAACATAATTATGTTTATTTTTTATTCCAACTGAGTCAATTTAAATATACCACATTATGTACAATTTTAGTTATACAGTGGAACCTCGCTTAACGAGTTAAAAACCATATTATATATCACCATATATATCAGTATATTGAAATACTCGTATACATATTCAAAAAAAATCACATAATATGTGTACACAAGTTATAAAAATGATGTAGCAGACGCGCAATCTGGGACTTTTTCTCTCATCGTCACTCATTATGCGAAACGTCGCTCGTTGCGAATCATTTTTATTACAATTAATTTTGCTCGTTAAGCGAGGTTCCACTGTATATGTTTTATTTAATAATAATAACTATATTCTAGTTGTATAATATTACATAAACAATTACAAAGAAAAAATGAATGATTGCAACGAGCTAACGTTATTTTTAAATTTTAGATTGGATTTAGAATTAGTACAAATCATTTGTAAAGAAAACATACCACGTTTTAATTATATACTCAAATTGTAATTAATAAATCACGGTGACTTGAGATCATTGAAATTGTAAATTTGAAGTACATGTATCAATTAATGTCATAAATTCCTCTATATAAACTTTATATTCTAAAGTCTCTTCCCGAAATAGTTCGTAGTCTAATACAGTGGAACCTTGTTTAACGAATTTAATCCGTTCCAAAATTTCCGGATTTTTACTCGTATAGTGAAATATATTCAAAAATACACATAATGTGTGTACACAAGTTTTAAAAATGATAGCAGGCGCGCAATCTGGGACTTTTCTTCTCATCGTCACTCGTTATGCGAAACGTCGCTCGTTAAGCGTTTCATTTTTCTTACAATTCATTTTGCTCGTTAAACGAAATGCTCGTTAAGCGTGGTTCTACTGTATATAATATAGAAAACAGAACCGTGTTATAAGAGGACTCTTTTGATTTTTGTTCCGCGTTATGTGAGGGTTTACTGTAAATTCAAAATAATATTTAAACACAATAATATAAAAGTATTAATCCTAGTATATATACAGTTAGTTTAGTGTTTAATAATTCAGAAGATTATCAAATAATGCCAAGGACAATTCGGTTGAACCTAAAAAAGAAACGGTGCTGAAAAAAATGCATTTTATTTTCAAATGAACCGTCGCACCGATGCAACTACATAATGCAACAGCAGGGGCAGTTCTTTCCTTAAGCTAACTGGATAATAAGTGAGTTCGCATGTGATTTGATTTATATATGCAGCAGCACTTGGAATGGCAATCATATAAATTGACATGCAGACAGTCAACAGCCTATGCATGTGCATTACTTTAAATATTATATTTACTTTGCGTTTAATACCAACAAATTATCCGTTTATATTATTAGAATTATCGAAGCCTCTCCCAGTTCATTATTCTAATTTATATTAATAGTTGGGCGATTTCATACATACTAGTATTTTCATAAAGCTGTTAATATTATTTACAAAAAATATGTTTATAATATCAAATGTCTAAGGTTTTCCATGATCAAATTTTGAATTAAAGTAATAATAATTAGAAAATGTAATTGCCATTTCAATGAAATGGCTATAGACTAAAGTCATTAGCCTAACTTGTTCCAATTATGTTTGTTTTTTTATTTGACAACTTCATTTTTTGTAAAATATGTAATGCTCTTATGTCTCATATTTCAGTTAACTTTCATATTGTAATTTGTCTACAATTATTGCATTTTTACTTATATCAACGGAATCAATTAATTGAAAAGCCCTTTTTTGTGGTCCAAAAGAATCCAGTGTCTCAAAAACTATTTGTCAAGTTAACAGTCCATCCTTGAACTGAATGTCAATTATGACACTTAAATATGTTTTTTTTCATCTCGACTTAATAATTTACACTTAAATAATAGTTTTTTTAAACTAACTGCGACGTAACTTTAAGGTATTACTGTATAATTAATATTTCACATGTGTTCGAGGAATGTAACCTGTCTTCTTTTTTATTGTCTCTACAACGCATATTCTACTATTCATCTATTCCAGTTTACTCTTTTATAAATCCTTTAATGTCAGACCGGTTTCAACTATTTTATCAACGCACTTCTTTGAACTAAAAATAAATCCCTTTAAAGCAAAATGTACACGCACATAAAAATAATAATATATATTATAGAAATTATTACATAGATTTATATGTATTTAATTATAAAAGATGTTTTTTTATGCAAAATACTAAATATAACACATGCAGCTGATACTAATTCAATGTATATGTCACGGTAAACCGGTTCTTGTAAGTAAATGTAAGTATAAATCTGACAGCAGCGTCATATATCTACTTTTACCAGTAAATGTTTACATCTACCTACGTGCATCGGTAAAAGTTGAAAACAATAAATAGGGATACAGTTGTTGAATATCAAGGTTAGGTTAGAAGACGCAATTATTAAAGTTCGAAATCTGTAAAATTGTAAAAAAATAAATACAATAATTCTGAGTTTGTAAGATTAGTTTTTGTTTTGCGTGACATAACCGGTAAATCAAGCCGGTAAATGTACATATTTACCGATTATGTACTTTTACGGTAACATGTATATTGCAAATAAAGTTTACTAAAAAACAATAATTTTCAAAATTATTAATTAACTTTTGTACCTTATTTATGTAATTTTTTGTAATACTGAACTTAAGAAACATATATTAAGAGATAATATTATCTCCGCTTATGAAATGCATAGATTATAACTCTTTGGATCAAAACATGAGGAAAATAATACGGTTTAATTTGTTTTTAAACTATAATTTATATTTTTATACTAAAAATAAATAATTTCACGTTTCCAAAATTATGAAACATTTTACTGTAATTAACATTTGTAAATTATTTCTGTTACTTTTGTAATGATGGAAATACTACTTTATAATTAATTATTCTAAACTCGGCGATTTTGCTATGTTCACTTTTTACTGTGATTGCAACTAATGGACGTGTAAAAATGAAATGATTTCCTGTTACAATAATATTAAAACTTTGCTACATAACGAGCGCGAAAATTACGTGCTATAAACGAATAGGAAACAAACGGAAGTATTACCATGATTATAATATAAATATTACTGTTGGTCGCTTTGTGTCACTGTGACTTTTTCTTCGTCGATTATAACTGTTTTCTCTAATGCATTCGGTTTGTTTCTATGTTTAAAGTTGCACTTTTTAAATACCGTTTTTTTACATACACAATAGATACAAAAAAAATACTTTAATTTAAATACATTAAACATTTTTAAACAAATAATAAAACTACAAGAAAATTAATGAGAAAACAGTCGTTTTTAAACGGCTAATTAATATCAAATTTGGTTAAGTCTGTGTAACCGTTAGATAACTGACTTTAAATTGTAAAATGTTATATCTGCGAGCAGGTGTGTACGTTGATTAATTTAACATACACTACATATCAAAGACATTGCAGTCACTTAAATAATTATAAAAAGGAGTAGTTTTCCGTTCTGCTGGAGCAAATAATAACCTCGTTCGAAAATCTGGCTTAAACTCAATTTTCTCAACTGAATGCTCTGGTTATCAAATATCGAAATCATAACTTTATTTGATCAAAATAATAAAATTTGATATTTTTAAAGTTTATCTAAATTATTTTTAGAAGTCTTGAATATAAATGATTCTTTGTTTATTGATGTTTTCATCAAAATTTTGAAGAAAATTTGTATTTAAAACAATATTTTATATAATTTTATTTCATAAAAAGCTTTTTCCTATTATTTTTATTATAAAATAATAAACGTATTATATAAACAGATACTAGAAATGTAGTTTGTAGTTAAAAATAGTTTGAAGATTTTTTTAAAAAAATTGTTGCAATTGCAATGTTTCTGATGACTGTCTGCTCAATGTAAATAAATATGCACATTATTTTCCCTAATTACCTGTTCTGCATTGCAGTGCCATTTAAAACTAATGCAAAAGCTGAGGAATAACAAAATAGAAGAATTGTAAAGAAAGAATGAAAGAAAGGAGAAAATGAGTATGATGATGTGATCGCTCTGCCTATAATCTTTGTGGTTGGTTATTGTTCACAACAGAACAAAACATTGAGTCGATTGTCTGTAATAATGGCACGGTTGGTTGTCTATACCATTTAATCTAAAGATAATTGTTGAAATATTTCAGGCGTACGCGATGGATGATGATGCCGTTATACCGGACCGTCTGCACCTCGACGACTCGTCCCAGCCAACAGTAGTTGTTCTTCAGATGTGTCAGTGCTTACAACATCATCCAAACAGTGTTCTTAAAAGTAAGTCTCTATCTACTATTATATATGATTTTATACAGATTCAATCATCAAACACATAAAGAATTACAATATTAACAAATATTATTAATTCTAAATATTTAACAAATTAATTTATATTTATATAAATTTAAATTTGGAAAACTTTATTTATTGTAGAATAAATAATTAGAACGTTTAAGCAAATTTAAATTGTATTAAGTAGTATTTTTAGTAAAATATAACTAAACTAAATGAAAGAATTGAAATGACTTTCATATTATCAAGTTGCATCATATTGTGTGTTGATTATAGTAAATTAAAGCACATAAGTAAAAATGTAAGAATGTACCAATTTTATAATAATTAAATTTTTAAAATTGTTTTATTACTCAATTGGTTATTATTTAAATCAAATGAAAACTAAAAATCAGAAAGAGAACAACAAAGAAAACAATTAAACAAATTATTAACTATATAAATAATGATTATGTTACTTGATGATAACATAGCTTTGTTAAGACTGTTTGATTACTTCATATAAAATCATGATTGGTGGTGATTTCGTTTTCCTCTGTATAATTTTAGTTTAATGTAGCACAACGAGTTTAATTCTTTAATCTATAAAAGGGGTAGCCACGTTCGACTTGTCTACTTTTTGAACGGTTTAAACGTGGTAGCTTCTTAAAAATTCACTATTTTAAATAAATTAAACAAATTAAATTCATTTTCAAAATTTTGAATATAATGAGTTAAAATTTTATGAAATAGTTACAAGTATACATTGATTACAAATATATTCGTTAAATTAGGAAAATATAAACTTTTCCTTATAGAGAAACCTGTTTTACTTGCTTATTTCTGTAAATTATATTATTAAATTAATAAGACTCTCTAAAATAATCAATGAATATATGATAGAATATACTTCTTTTTTTTGTATTAGCTATATTACTTAACCTGTTTACTGATCGTTAAACTTTTATTAGCTTTCAACCGTTAACAGTTATATAAACTATCTTTTTTTCATTTCGTTTGTTCCGCGCGTGCTTTCCTCTTGAATCGAAAATGTTGTTGCGTTTTTCTTTGTGAAGATGATATAACATTTCGCAATTGAATTGATATGAGCTAGTGGAAAAATGCAGAAAATTCTTTCTCCAGAGAATTCCGATGGAATTATTGCGGAACCGTGCAACAATATATTTCATTAATTATTAATTCTGATGTAATTATTTATAATAATTTATGAATTTATTCAGCAAAAATGTGTGAAATAATACGTAATATAGGCCTGTTTTTATAACTTCATTGTTTTGAAATTAATCAGTTAGAATTTGGATAGTGCGCTTTCGATCAGTCCGGATTCAAAGAAAAATAAATTTTATAACATTAGTTTACATTTCTTATATATAAATGTTCGTTTTTTCGTCAAGTTTCTTTTCATGTCGTTTTAATTGCAATTAAACAAAATACGGTTAAATTTGGATAGCAGAACCATTATAATTCTAATTATAGTTTATAATTTTATAAACAGTTTTTATGTTAATTTGCTGGTAATATTATGAGGAAGCGAATATATTTGATATTGGAATGCAACACTTTATTCTTGTGGCTTTATTGTTTGCAGTCAAGGTCATTTTCTTGTCACTAAAGCGAAATTTGTATTTACATGATGCTTTGTCTGTGTTTAAGATTCTTGTAATTGCTTTTAAAAGCTTCCCGTTTAATATTTTAAGTATTTGTAATTTTATTTTAATTTACAATAAATTATAAACTAATAATATCATAATACAATTTAAATATTATTAAAAAAATTATTTAAAATGATCTAATTTATCAGTTATATATACCTTTTAATAATTACGCAAGAAATTAATAAAAAGAAATTAACAAAAAAACTTAAATACTAACATTGTCCATTTGTATATAATAATTGTTAAAATAATATTTTGATAACTTGCAACAAAATATTGCTTCTTTTAAAAAAATGTATCAAAAAAATGTACATTACTTAGAAAATTATTTTTTCTCAATGGTACTCGTAACTGTTAACATTACAGATACATGTTTATCTTTAAACTCATTTACGACTGAAGTAATTCTTTTCTCGAATTCTCATTCATTTTTCTGTGTTGTGATTCAGGTCATTAAACTGTTTAACTGTTTAATTTGTTCTTTCTTGTGACCAAAATTTATAGTTCTAAAATATTTAACCCAACGCTTAGAAATATATAGTAATTTGTAGTAGGAACAAAAAATATGAACATTTAACATTCCTCAAACATATAATTGACATAATAACAAGTCTTTACCGTTTTCATATTTTAATAATGTTTAAACTACAACTAATTTGTGACAGTTGTGTAATTCATACAAAAAATATGAATACTACCAATTTAGATTTTTATAAGAATTTCAATTAGGACATCCAAAATTAACGAGATTTTATTTAAAAATTACCGATTAATTTAACATTTACTACTATCTATTTGCAATATATATTTTTATTTTATAAGCAAAGGAATTAAGTTTTAATAAAAGATTAATACATTTACAAAAAGAAACAAGAATGATTATTTCATATACAAAGTAAAGTTTATTCAAAGAGATAATAATTAACAATAACAAATACGAAATAAGTTTAATATATTAAAAGCAAAACAATTAAACAAGAATTAAAATGTGCACGCTGTAGACAAATCTCTACTTTAGTGGGGTTCACCATGAGAGGATGTACACTTCATTTCAGTTTTCTTAATTTTTATTCAAATTATAAATTACCGGTATTTGTTATGAAATATAACTGGTTAACCGTTTACTCCTACTTTCAATATTCTATTATATAATCCATTTGTTAATTGAATATATCTATCAATAATTAACAGGGCAAAGTCACAATACTACTTCGGTAAATAATCCTAAGATTTTCAATAAAACTGTATTTTAATTAACTCTTTGAGAGATACACGAAATGTATCACCTCTTGCCAAGGGCATTATTATAATTTTCTAGAAAATGAACAGGAAAGAGGAATTACCACTTAATTTGGTTTGCATGTCAAGGGATGAATCTTGATAGACCATAACATCCGATGTTGATTCAGTCAACGAAGTTGTCTGATTATTGAGTTCAGTGTTTTAATGATTTTATAGAAATGTCTAACAAATATGATTTAGTTGTTTAGTCACTAAATACAATAGATGTCAATTCCGATAACTTAATGAAAATATTTGAAAGGAATTCGTGACACGGTTCAAATGCAAAACACGCGTCATGCTTCAAATTACTCATTTATTGCTATTTGCAAATAATTGTGGGTCTTCGGTCTGGCCTAGATGCGGAGATCTAGGTAGAGTTTGTCAGGCATGCGCTTGCAGAGGTCTCTTCCTCGGTCTGCGCACCCAGTGATATAGAATTCGAGAGGAGAGAGAAGAGAGGGCTGCTACTCCACGAGTTTCGTCGACGGTGGGACGAAAGACGGGCATTCAAATCACTGCCACTATCGTGGTCAGGGAAAGTCAATGAACTTAGCGGTATTCACCTGACATATTCTTGCACCTTCCATAATCCCACTCGCTCGCACTCGCACTATTATATAACGTTCCCATGCGATAATTCAACAACATTAAGATTACTTTGACATTTACTAAAAAAAGTATACACATATATATATGAAGTACATAAGTGGATAAGCAAAAAAACATACTTTGTATATAAAGTGAAGTGGATAAAGTAAACACGAGGCTCTCTGCTAGATTGCGTCTGGCAAAACTCTTTTCGATTTACCGTTTCGGCGAAGAAAGGTACAAAAAAAAAGAACTGGATGTAACTGGGGAATTAATTTAAAATTACATGAAATTTAAGATGACGTCTGTTAATCGGATCTTTAATTATATCCATTTCATTAAACCGCTACTTGATCGACTTTTTTTGACTACTATTTACCAATTAATTATTTTAAACTCGTTATATAATATTCAGTTTGTAAATTACGAAATTTACATTTAATTGTTATTAAATAAGGTGAAATAAGTATGAAACTATTATATAATTTGAATTATGTAATTAATACTAAATTATCAATCCATTATTAGGTGTTAATCAATAAGTTAATTAATAATGATTGATTATTGTTTCATGTATGTCTTTAGCTTTGGTAGTTTTTTAGTATTATTAATTACTTAGTAAATATCAAAAATCTTTTTTTCTAGATAAAACAAAATTTAATTAAATTTTTTTGAAGATTTACCCTCAATTAGAAAACAGTTTTCTTTTTCAAATTAAGTCTTTTTGAATTTATTGTTTATTTTTTATTTTAGGATGTAAGTTAGAATGGTTTCTTATGAATCTTATATATATATATTTTAACTAATGGATTAAATTTCTTGCTGATTCAAAAAGTTATATCTACTTGTTCTTTAGTTTATTATCTAAAAGTTTATAATAGTTTCTTTAGAAACCGGACTAATCGAGGACATTAAAATCGTATAAATAGGCAGCATATCTAAAAAGTCTACTGTAAATTTTTCAAATTTATTTATATTTTGCTCAATTATAATTGAGTTGATTTATATTTCAAACCGTACTATAGTGAATCCGGACTGATCGAAGCAGCATTATGTGAGGTATTATTGTATATTTATATTTCTGTACCATCTCTTGATAGGAAAAATTACATTAAATTACATAATTTAACTTTGTCTAACATCATAACATTGTGGAAGTTACATTATTTTTCCATTACTAATAAAAACAAAGGATATAAAGCAAATAACTATCACTTTGATTATAGTAGGTCAACATATACACAGTACACAATTTAATGAGTATTCCTTCCGGTTTCCTTCTCGTCGATTCTGTAAATAAAACAAACCAGCATTGAAACAAGTTCGGAATTTCAATGTTGATAAAGCTTACAATTTTCGTTAATAGACCAGAACACTATTAGAATTTCAATGTTGTATCTCACATGAACTAAATGCATTGAAAATAAAACTGATTATTGGACAATGGGACTCGAGGTGTGTGCATCTTTCGGGTGATATCATCTTGGTAACTGTACAAAATACCGACGATCTTTTTTTTTGTGGTCGTTCGTGTCTCGTTCAATGGAAGAGGTTCGTGTATTATTCGTTGTATGCAGCGAATTATTTATGATGGCTAAGAATAGATTTTGTATGGATGAAAGAAAATTCCAAACGGATTCACTGATTTCATGGGTGGAACGTAAATTAGAAAATTACCGTTTTCTATAATTAAATTCTATGAATGTACAAATTACAATTCTAATAAGAATTATAAAAGTTATATAATGTGAAGAAATGTTACCATAATTTGTTTATTAGCTCTAATGTAATTACACTGCAAGATATTTGCTTACTTTATTATTAGGTTTTCTGTTTATTTTTGAAATTATTGCTTTGTGTAACAGAATACAATGTTAGAGTTAAAATAATTCGAAAACAACTAAAAAGAAAAGTATTTATTTTACTTTCACTTCAAAAAGTTTCTTCATAAGTGAAACAAATATTTTAATATAATAAAAATCATATAAATACAATTTTTATAAAATTATAATTATTTAGTTAATTTCATAATTTTTATTATTTTCAAATGCAGGAATAATCAGCAACAAAATACTTTTTATAAGATTCATGATAAATTGAGTATAACTATGTAAACTTAGCACCAGTCAATGTTATGTAAAGCTTCTTGAATATTTAAATAAAAAGCGACAAAACCGGAAATATATTGACTGAAGATCGAGGTCTTCTAAAATGAAGAATGTTAAGTAACAGTAAATGAAAAACAAGAACTAATTGCAAGTTTTACACTTAATTCATAACACTAAACAATGCATGTAATATCTAATGTGTCTTTAAGAGACGTTTACAGTAAATAATTCCGAATTCTCATTTTCTTGTAATTAACAGATGGAAAAGTATGGATAAATTAATTATATTATTGATTAATTACAACTTGTTGAATAAAATTAATTTAATTTGTTGATGTTGAATGAATATTAAAAATATATGATAATATTTCTTGTAATAAAGACAAGTAAAGTGTTGATTGTTTTTTTTACTTGAGTCTGCATTTATTAATACGTCAATTAAATTTGAATTCATTATCTTAACGAAACACGAGATAATTATAAATAAAACTGTGCTCTTGGTATAAATTACTCTCAAGCGTCACGAGGATCAATGGAATGTAAATAAATCAATTGCAATAAATAAATATCAATGTAAACGATTTTTTATTTAGCACTTCATACGTTGTTGTTGTTGTTGTATATGAAGAATTATTACAGGAAATATTTATAAAGAGATATAAGCTTTGCTTATAAGGTTATTGTAGATCATTGTATTTATTGCTAGATTAATATTTTTAATGTTAAACAATATAAATAAAAACTTATTAGGGTAGGTACTTGATGATTCGTAACATAGAAACATATTGCTTTGTGGTATGGATTAGGTGATCTGTAAATTTCATTATTACAATACTAGAACAAAGATGATTTTCCACACATAAATGTTCACACGATACGCAAGATACAAAGACTTCATGATTGATTCATGACCAATTTAGAGGATATGCTTATATTTGTTTGATCTTTATACTGGATACATAACACTTTCTATTTTTTTTCTCAATTATTTAATGTTAAGGAAGTAACAGTTAGATAAAACATTTTAAATGTTGTATTTTGAACGATAGTAAATATTATTAAATTGATTTATTATCGATGAAATAGTCTGGATGTGTTTGATCAAAGGCTTATAGAATTGATTGATCATGTTAATCTTCTTCACATTTCTGTACCGTTTGCGCAAATTACGTTCGAATTGGATCGTGAGTAGGAACTGTGTCAGTGGGTGTGAATGCATCTTCGCTTCGCACACACACATTCATTATATAACACGCAAGACAATTTCACACGTTAAGCACATGCATTACACGGCATAATAATTTCGATGTACTGATTGCATTTATCTTTGTTTGTTTCAGGTGTTCAGAGACATGGAGGATTTCGGTAGAGTTTGGCGTCTGGCATTGTCGCTAACGTTGATCGTTAGCGCGATTGGAATGCCGCAAAACCCAAGGTATCAAGGGAACGAGCCGAATATAGTTTACATGCAAGCGATACGCGATTTAGCTAACGTTAGAATCAACGAGCGAGATTTAGTTACCAATGACTTTAACGATAGGCATAGGCAATCCAAAGCGCCGAAGCACAAGAACTTCTACAAAGATGAGAAACTCTTGAACGGTTTCATCGACGCGACTCTGGACGATCTGTCCGTGCCGAATAATACGGTGAAGGTGATCAAAGCGGGTCGCGAGAACGGAAGCCATATTAGCAATAAGCATTACAGAAACACAGAGAGTAACAAGACTCCGCATAAATTAGTTAAAATTAATCAAAGCACAACTGTTATTAACGCGAATAACACTAAATACCATCGTGGAACCGTCGGTGGGTCGAGAACCACGAAGAGACCTAAAATTAGAACCACCACCAAAACCAAACCCAGACCAACAACCAAATCTAAACCCAAACCAAGTACTCAAGTCATAAATACAAACCAAAAAAATTACGCCCAGATCACGATTAAACAGAATGGGACGAAACCGATTCGCAGAATCATTAAACCCCTCAAAACCAATAATTTGAAGCAGAATGATTTCCTGCTGTATCACATCCCAAGTCCGGATCCTATGCCCGAGGTAACCTCGTACTCCCCCGAATCTTATTTCAATCCAAACCTGATCCGGCCAAGTCCTGAAGTAAGTAGCTTAATCCCATTGGAAGCCGTAGAGACCGCATCTAATGGTTATCCGGTTTTCGATGAACCAGACCAGGACGATTTAGGTCCCGGTCTGAATATACCCTTGGGTCAAGTGGATTTTAACATGTATCCAATCAGAGCTCCAACCTCTGGAGTCAAATTAGCCAATGGAGAAGAGTTCGATCCACTTTGTCCATCTCTGCATTTATCCACCAACATTTTTGGTCCCCAATCGAAACAAGCTTGTCCACCGCTTAACATTGTTGTCAACTCCCATTTCCAGCAAAGTATGCTTCCAGAAAGAGCCCCAGTTGGTTTCGCTGATACCCCAATAGCTGCAGCAACCGCAGCAGACACCCCAATATTAGCTGATCCCGTTGTAGCTTCATCCCCAGTTGCGTCTGCACCAGTAGCATCTTTAGCTGATACAGCAGCAGCCCCAGCATCTGCCGTGGCACCAGTCCAAGCCGCAGCTGCTCCAGCCGCATCAAGTGGAGGCAGCGGTGGTTTCCCCATGTTCCCATCGCTCCCGGAACTTCCTAAACTCCCCGACCTCAAAGGTCTTTTCGGCGTGCTACGAGGCCTCTGGAGCATCCTGTCCTGGCTGTTCCGCTTCATCTGGCCAATCCTAGTTGCAATTCCCACAATTGTCTTCTTCAAAACCCTCTTTGTTGCCTTCTTCGTGCTATTCCCTTGGTGGTTGCCCGTTCTCATAATAGCCGGAAAATCGGCAGGTCACAAAGAGAAACCGAAAATCCATTACAAGCACATCCATCCGCCGGTTGTTGTTCATCATCCGGACGGTTGGTTCTGGAACCAGAAGACCAAGACTTGGGTGAATCTGGACGGTACTAAAGCGAAACCGTACACGCATCGGTCGGATGATGTACTTGGAATGATCGATGATTTCAGAAAGAAGTACTTTGGAAGAAGGTAGTTGATGCTAGCTAGTTAATTAGGCTCATCATCGGTGATATTTTGCAAGTCATCAACACTATCAATTTGCTCAGTAAATAATTTAATTTAAAAATTTAACCGTTCTTGTACATACAATTTAATAATTTATCGTTTGAAATTAATACATTCGGATTACGTTAAGCGTTTACTAATTTAAAATCGGGAGAGCTTGCACGTGAATTATATTTCGCGAAAATTGTGTCTTGTTAAATGTTATTTGTTAATTACTTTTAGTGCGGGTATTTATTTTATTTATTTTCTTGAAATTATTTATTTATCTATTTTTCTTGAGTAATTTATTTTTCTTCTTTAGTTTTAGTTATTTATTGAATAAATATGAATAAATTTATTACATTACATGTCCTAACAATTATTTCCCTTTAATCCCATTTTAAACATAAACTTAACAGTTAACCTTTCTTTTCAGCTACAAACAATACATTTGTGTACTAATGTTAAGTTTATAGTGATTTTTTCTTGGTTTAACACTTTTGCATATTGAAACGGAAAATTTCATAAAAGAACATTATTTAAAAGAAATAATTGAATGAAAAGCAGTCAAAAGAATGTCAAATATTTTAAATTTTCAAGACATATATTGCATGAAAAGTCCTCAAATAATTGTAGGTCAAGAAGGTATGATGTTACACGTTTGTACTTTAAAAGAGAAACTTTATTTGCATATAAAGTAGTGCTATTATAAATTTATCAAGTTTGTATAAACTTTTTTTATTTAGTTTATTGTTTTCTCATTATAAATGAAAATATTTCTGTTTTAGGAAATATTTTTATTTATTTCTTTTAAATTTATAATGTTAATATTAAACTCAAATTTTGATTTGTTTTTTTTAGATCACCAGCAATTGGAGAAACTTTAAAGCAATTGACCGTAAGTTTACTGGAAAGCATCAATGCTACTGCTCCGACCAAATACCAAGACCCGGTGCCCACTTTCGATACGAGAACACCACCAAAAGTGAAGCAGCAGATGAAGAAGGATAAACTGGAGGAGAAATCGCATCCGGGAATTGCCGAACCAGTAGATGATGAAGAGTTGATTCTAGAGGAGCACGAAAAGAAGATGAATTACTATAAAGTCGATAGACCCACAACTGATAGTGGATTATCCACGTGGATATTATTGAGTGGACAGGCGTCGTCCACTGCTAAACCTATGAAGAGGCCTCTACCGAGGAACGTTACAAATACCTACGTCGTTGAGGATGAACCGGTAATGAATATCAAGCCGTTGTTTAAGAGGAGGAGTACAACAAAGAAACCAACAGCAACAACGGCTGCAACTACTACAACTGCTACGACGACCACGACGACAACAACACAAAGACCAACCAAGTTAACTAAAGTCAAAGCTTCTTTATTGGCTGGAGTCAATAAGAATGCCACGAATTTCTCGAAGAAAACAACTACTGTTAAAGCGACGACGACAACAATCACAACACCGAAGCCTACCAAAGCAACTAAAGTAACAACTGTTAGCACGACTAAGAAACCAACAACTGTAACAACAACTAAGAGACCTACAACTGAATTTGTTAGAGTATCAACAATGAATACTCCAGTTGTAATCAACGAAACCAGAGTATCGAGTGCAGCTTTAGCTCCGGAGGCGAAAGAAGGTGAATTGGATTTGACTAACAATAAAAAGACTAGAAAACCTTCCACCACCCATAAAAGAAAGAAGAATAAAAATAAGAAGAGGAGACCTACAGCAGAAGATAAAGTTGATGTATCTAACTCAACGAAAGTTGCTTCAAAGATCAAAGAAAAACCGTTCGGTACGCAAATCTACAATTATTTGAGTAGAGAAGTGATGCCGACCGTTGGGGTTGGATTGGTTGGTTTAATGGTCACAGCTGGTTTGGCAAGTTACTTCTTGTATCCATTTAGCCCGGTGAGGAGATCTTACGAAGTGGATCGCAAAGATAAAGTTACTCCGTATTATTACAATGATGAATATTCGGGTGGAATTGCCGAAGAAGAAGCTATTGGTAAAGTTATAGCTGGAATGCCGCAAAATGCCAATACTAATACCAATTATAATGTGAGAGCGCAGAATTCAAGAAATACTTATAATAGGTACAGGAATGTGGATCAGAGGTACATGCAAGGATCCGTAGAGACGGTTAAACTTAATCACAAATCGTCTTATGGTGGTGATGAAGTTATCGTTGGTAGTCCCAAAGCGTCTTACGGTCAAACCACGGAAAATGATGACGAGCAGAAATTCGTAGTGGGAAGTATACCAAAGGAGCTGCAAGGAAATTTGGAGGAGGTCGATCCAACGCCCGTTGTAGTTCCAGAACACGGACCGAGGAACATCGAGGAGAAGGAGCAAGTCTTCGTTGTTCACAGTGTACCTGCAACCGAAACTGCAGCACTCAAGATCGAGCACGGTCCACGCAGAAGGAGGCAATCTTATGAAGAAAACGAGATTGATGTAGACGGACATAAAACTACAGAAACTACAATAGAAACAACAACCACAACACCGAAAACCACAACTACAAATAAACCAACATTAACAACCACGAAGAACCCGATCGTAGTTAAAACCGAATCTTTTATCCATCTGATCAAGGACTTATTTTATTTCAAGATCCGCATGGGCTTGGAGATTCTTCAGAACAAAACGGAAACGCTCACCAAATACTTTAAATCAGCACAAACCAGAATAGACGATGCTTATGTGAAGAATCACCAACCGCACATGTAGATCGCACAAAACCATTATAAAACTTCGTAGATATATTACATATTTGGTTTAGCTTAAATAAATCCATTGCTCTCTTTTTCACACAAATGCTCAAACTTTGGGCTCTGTATTCGTTTATAGTAAAAAGTATTTGGGGGACATTTACAACGTGAATCTGCAATATATCCGTACTTGCGAAGTAGCTTTTGGGCTCAAGTTCATGTTTGACAAATGGGGAGGAAAATTAGGGTGGATCGGAAAGTGTACACTTTGTTTAGTGCTTAAAACACCGAACGTGAACTTGGCTTAAACGATTATATTTTATATTTTTTTTATATATATATTTGTATGAACCTAGCACTTATTGATTAGTATTTATGTTTTGTATAGAATTTTCTATTAGTAAATTATTTGCATATTGAGACTATTATTTTGTACTGTCTAGTTTAATTTTGTGTATAATAAACTTATTTTTAAAAAATACAAACATATTTATTTCTACAAAATTAAAGAATTAACTTTAATGATTTTATTGTTTAATAATTCGAGATATGAGTTTCAAATTAAAAGTATAAAACATTTGTTACATTTGTGATATTTAAAAAAAGTTCTTGCACAAAAATGTAAATATTAAAGGAAATATCTGACTATATCATAATGCAAATGTTGCTTATACGCTTAATATTTACTTATTAAATATTGTTTCATAATAGAAAACTATTTTACAATGTGAAACAAAGTAGTAAATAATGCATATGTAATGTTGTCAAGAAAATAACAAAACTTTAACAATTTAATATAAATCAGTACATCGTTTCATAAATCACGGATAAGTTTAGTTCATCGTTTATAAATCAGTTGTGAAACAGTCGTAAACATGTTATTAAATAATAGTTTTGATGCATTTGCTCATTGCATTTATAAAATATTCGATGGAAATGAATCAATTCTTCAAGTATCTTCCAATGAAGATTTCATACAATTACCTGCACCGATCCAACACGTACAACTAACAACTGATTTCAATAATTCAACGGTGCTGCAAAAATATTCGATTTATTTAATAATCATAAATAATGTGATCGATTTGGAATCATTCTTGGAAGTAATTTATCGTAGTATTTATTACAATTCCAAAGCGAAAACTGTAATTATTACTAAAGAAATTGAGAATTTCAACAAATATTTTAACATTTTGTGGAAGTATTATTTAATTAACGCTTTATTAATAGATAAGAATTTAAATGTATTTACTTATTATCCGTTATCTCGAGAGAATTGTACAGGATCCGTTCCTGTTTATTTAGGTAATTGTAGTAATTTCGATAAGTATAAATTAGATATTTTCAAAGAAAGTAAAATTCGCTATTTTCCCAAATGCGTTCTGAAATCGTATATTGCTTATATTGAACCTTACACGATGCCTGGAGGTGTTGAATTAAAGTTAATTCAAGGTGTTGCGGAGCAACTGAAGATACAATTTGAAGTACTTCCAAACGATTATCCGGACCCTGGATTCGAGAAGCTTAAAAATGGATCGTACAAATATATGTTTGCTGATTTATACAATAAGAAAGTTGATTGCTTTTTAGGATTCATCGGAATGTACCAAGAAGACTGCGTCACATTTGATTGCAGTTTCCCGCATTACTTTTCGCACATGTCCTTCTTCGTTCCGTTGGCTGAACCATTGAAAATTTGGATGAATATGTTTCTTATCTTCCAGTTACCTTTATGGATATTCCTTTTGGTCATATTTATATTAATATCCACTTTATGGATGTATTTACAGAAGAAGCAAACCTTCGTTAGTAGTTGCTTTTATTTATTTGGATTGGTTTTCAGTTCAGCTCCAAAGCAACCAACAGAAACCAAACTGCGTATGGCTTTTTTGGCATGGATTCTGTTCAGTTTCCTTATTGCTAATGGTTTCTTAAGCGTGATGGTTTCATTCTTGAGTAAACACAGTTACGAATTTCAAATCTCGAACGTCCATGAAATGCTTCAAAGCAATTTACATTTTGGTGGTTTCAGCTATTTAAAGACGTACTTTGATGGTAATGATACAGAACATAATATTAAGCTGTTTAGAGAATTCGTCGATTGTGACGATAAAGAGATTTGTTTGGATAAAGTTGTTAAGTTTAGAAACTTTGCTTTGGTGGATGACACCAGGATTATTTTATATAATATGAAGAATAAGGGGTATAAAGCTTTCATGTTACCCAATATTATAACTGCTTTTCCTAGTATCTATTTAGATAAAGGTTCACCGTATCTGGATAGAATTAACGAGGCAATTGTAGCATTGTACGAAAATGGTCTAAATTCGAAATGGGATCCACTATTAAAGGTTCACCATGAAGCGGTATTAGAAGGAGTAATTGCTTTGCGACTTGAACATTTGCAATGTTCAATATATGGTTATATTCTGGGCATTTTTATATCAGTAATGTGTTTTATATGGGAATTGTGTGTCGATAATAACAAATCTAAGATTTTTGTCTACCAGGATTAATGATAGGCAACCAAATATACCACATTCACTTATTGTATTTAGAAAACCTTAATAATACTTTATATATTAGGTTGACATTGTTCAAAATGATTAGAAATAAATGATAAATTTAATTGATATCATTAAATTGTAGTTATCACTGTAAGTAGAAGCTATACCAATAAACTATTGCATATAATAAAATATGTAATTAAGTAAAGTGAATTGTTTGTTTTAATTATTATATAGTAAAAAATATGTAACCAGTTAAATAAATGATAATTGAAATTTGAATTATAAATCAAAATTGAAAAGTTAATTAAATTTATTATTTATTACAATATATTTTTGGTTGTAACCAAATGAAACTTGAGTAACATAAGGCACTAGAGCAAATATTGAAATGCATAGTTTTGCAAATTGCTTATATGTTTTTCTTTAAAAATGCAACCAAACACAAACTTGAGGAACCTAAGGCACTAGATTGAATATGGAAACTAATATATCTGCAAATTGATTATATACTTTTTATATATACAACCAAAACCAAACTTGAGGAACGTTTATCCAATATGGAAATGTATATGTCTGAAAATTGATTCTAATTTTTAATTTCTGTAGTTTATTGTTGTAATGCTTATTATTATTATTATATGTTGCATTGAATAAAAAAAATCAAAATTTTGTAAATTCGTTGATTTGCTGGAATATTTCAGAATATATGTATTACCTTAATAATATTAGGTAACTAATAAAATAAGTTGCATCAAATACATTTCTTGTTAACTTAAAATGCAATTTAATTTTCGACACAAGAGAAAGTTTGACAGCCCTATAAAAAATGTTTTACTAATCATTTTGCGCCAAGTATACATGCAAAAATACCTGCAACCCTTAATACCCTAAATATAATACTTGGAGTATAAATACTGGATGAAAAATGAAAAAGGGATTAGTTTTTGAAACATCTTCAGTACGACAACTGCTTCTTACGTTTAGAACGTTTCTTATTATCTGCATTATTTACACAATTAACTTAACCAAGATGTATGATGATAGAGGGATCATTTTGGACTACGAGGAGAATATCGAAAATAGTGTCAATAGTGAATACGAGAATAGTTATCATGCGGACATTATTGGCGAAGTTTTGGCCACGAAGAGACATAGACAGAGTACGAGGTTGTCTGAAATAGAAAGAAATAAGAATGAAAAGGTCGAGAAGGAAAAGGCGACGATGATTTCGTCAAAAACAAGATGGAAGAAGCACAAAGGAAGTGTTTGCAGGAGGCGGAAGAACTTCTGAAGAGACTGGATCGTCTGAAAACTAAACACGAGACGAGCGTAGTATCAACTGAACGTTCATGAGATTAGATCGAGTATGATTTGAAGAAAGATCCAGAATTTCTAACAATTCAAGATATAAAGAAGACAGGAATGGAAATTAAAAATGTGGATATACTCTTGAATAAGTCTGTCAAGTTTTTGGAGTCGATTCCCGAGACAGTTATCGACGAGAGATTAGCAGACAGGATTAGTCGCGATAGCAGAAGTGTGCATGTTGGTAACGTAGACTATGAAACAACCAAGGATATGCTTGAGGAAGTTTTCTGTAAATGTGGAAGAGTCGAACGCATTACAATTCCTCTAAACAAAAATACCGAGAAAACAATGGGTTTTGCATATATTCTATTTGAATTGCAGCAATCAGTTGATGAGCCCTTGAAAATGCACGGATTTATGTTGAGAAATAGGCCGATCCGAGTGTTGCCCAAAATCAACTAATCAATTTGGAATGAAGACAATCAAACGATCACCACTTGTTCCTGTTGCTTCGACAAACTATCAAATGAATGTAGTTAGTGACATGAATAAGACAACCAAACCAATTAACAACTTTTGTTCAGGAAATGCATATTTTAAGACTGGGCAAACTAATGACTGGGTTCAAAACGATGAAACCTTTAACAGCAGATATCCATATTGGAAACCAACCCATTATTGATTGTAAATTGTATTTAGAAATATGTTAATGATTGTATATATGTCTGTTAACTATATGTTAATAAATAATGAAATATATGTTTATAATTTAAAAAAAAAAACACAACACTTTTTTTTTATTTGATTCTATTCCTTATTTAGAATAATATTCAGTTAGATTATAGTTTTATTTTAAGGTATTATAAGGTGTCCAGATTTTCATTTCTAAATATTCCATTTGTTATAGTTCAATTTATTATATACCTAATATACCTTGAGTGTAAGGTAATAATTTGAATAAATAAGTAAATATAATATATCCTGATAATAATTAATATCTCATAATCTTTGATATATATACATCAATTTCTTATAAAACTAAACATAAAAAATTGTAATGCAAATATTAATATTTTTATAAAGTAAAGTATATTCAATATAATTAAATTATTAATCAACTACCTAAATCCTATATCACCAAACGATATAATTAAAAACGAATCTCTACTATAACCACAAAAGAATTTTATATATCTAACAATGCAATTAAAACGTTATTTTTTAATTTAAAAAAAACACACATTAATGGCACTTGACTCGACAAACATTCGTGATTTTAGCGTAGTTCCGAGTAAAGTCTCATTTAATTATTCATATGACACTTATATTATTTGTATTTTTTTTTTACAATATTTTCTAATTATATTTATTTAGTATAGATTTAAAAATATTATTTAAAAATAATAAAATCAGTATAAAAAAATTGCATTTTATTGCTTCGGTTCAGAGAAGATCGGTTTATCGGTGGTCGCTTCAATGACGAGTCCTTTCTTTCCGAAGACTTTCCATATAAACGGTCTCATCGATTCAAGCAGTCGTTGGGCTCGCAACGCGGAATTCTGTGAACGGAAATATCTGTTAGTTTCGTTGCTAAGTAGTGTATAAACATTGGATGAGGAATATAATAGCCTTGTGTTTATACTACATGAGATAAATAAACAGATGCATTTCACTAATTCTTTGGGTAAATCTCAATAAAGCCTTGGATCAACGTTTTTTTTTCTCGTACCTAAATCACATATGAAACGTGGATGATCTCACTTTGTTCAAATACATTTTTTTTCTATTAGATATCTCCTGTATAAACAATTGTATTTTTTTTAATATAATGCCCAATATAATTGAATATCTTCTTAAGAATTAGGAAAAACAAACCGTAACCTGTTGGGGATAAATAATATTAGTTTAATGTAAACATGTTAAATAAAGTGAAGACTTATGATTAAAAGTAGTGCAGATGTAAAATGTGATTTAAAGGTGGTGAATTAAAAAACCTGCAAATAGAATAATCAAACATTAGTATCTTATTATATTGTGTATATTTTTTGGTTTAGTCGTTTTCATTAGTTTCAATTGTTAACATATCAACGGTTTTAATTAATTAATTTAAGTTAATTTGTTAATGCAATGTGTCAAAAAATGATTTATTACAAAAAAAGAAGAGTGTGAAATTTTTAATGTTATGGACGTATTAATAATAAAAAAAAATGTATAAAATATTTGTTACGAGAATAGATTTGAAAGTTTCTAGAATAAACGAAAAGTTAACGGTGTAATCATGTACCATCAACATATTGTAAAACAAATGTCTGTTAAACGATTATTCCATTGTTTTAACTCTTTGATGGACGGTGGTACACGTAATGCACCATCTTAATGTTCTAGAAATTGTCCAAAAAAGTGGAATCACTGCCTTCTAATCAGCAAATTCTTTAAAACTATATATTGTTTTTTTATAGACATCAATTTTTATTGTTATAAATACATTGTACATTTTGTATTTTGTCTAGAAAAGGTCTAGAAGTTTAGGAATGTTTGGCTCAACTCTTTGATTTAAGTAAGATCGTAAGATTATATAAATTTGAAAAGAAAAAATATATAGAAAAAAAGTTAGTGTCGTGTAGTTATAAAATATTTAATTTTGTTTTCATTGAGATTAAGTTGAGGCTTCTTTTTCATATTCAATGGTTCATACAGCAAAGTATGTAGAGAAAATTAAGAGAATTGAAATTAATGTTTCAATTTTTTGATAAAACAAAGTTCAAATCGTAGAACAAGTTACGTATGAAGGTAATTGACCAAAAACTAGTTGAATTCAATATTTTTTACCAAAAAAGTGATAAAAAATACATTTTTTGAGTAATTTTGTAACATAAATCCATTACTATTGAGATCTATATTAAAAAAGTTACATGTTATATGTTGGTTATAAAATATAGAAAGACTTAAATAAAATTTCCGATAAAAGAAATTTCTTTTTAAAACGTGAAATAGTTAGCTGTAAATGTACAATTTAAGAATTTTGATAATAAGAAAATATTCATTATTGAAATAGTCAAGTTTCAAAATCAAGTAACAAAGGTTATGCAGTTATACCTCGTTTAATGTTACCTCTGATAACGAAGTTTCGATATAACGGCTAGAACCATTTTACATAAAATATGTTAAAAATTTAAGGCCAACGTTTAACGATCATCTGACAAAATATGGCCAGAAGTTGTGCAAGAAAAAAAAATAACAACCAACAAATTAAAAATAAAGTTGTCTAGTTGTGTAAATCAATATGTTTAGAAAATGTCGATAAAGAGGATGTAAGTTAATTGTTTATTTAATAAAACTTTTCTTTGCTTTTCATTTACTCCACGAATGAACGAAAGTTTCGCTTAACGATCTACGAACGCGTTTTATTCGTTAATCGAAGTATAATTAAATATAAATATTGCTTTATATAAGTTTGTTCTAGAATGATTCAAACTTTCTTCGTATTTTAAATTATGCTGCATTCAAGTTATGCATTTTTTTTAGGAAATGTTGAGATAAGTCTGTTATACTTACGATCATAAATTCACCGATGGTGTCAGAGAGGTTCGTGACCAGAGTGAAGGATGATCCGAACAGCTGGTCGGGCAAATCCAGCGACACCGGTTTATTCTTTTCGAAAATGACAATATCTTCTGTCGTGGTCGGCTTTCTCGAAGTCGTCGTCAACGGTCTCTTTGTCGAAGGCTAAAACAAAACCGCAATTTAGCTTTGCAACGAATCATGTAACTTTCAGAAATAATTAACGAGCTCTTGCGAAATCGCTTAAACAAAAATTTATGTATTTCCTACTACATTTAATTTCATCATATTAAAATTTAAACGAGTCTTATTTTTTGCAATGAGAATATGCTGCGACTGAATTATGATTTATTTGCAGCCTGTATATAACTAATTAGAACATATTTTTGTTAAGATTAAATAATTTAGATGCAAGGGTTCATAAATAATAATGGAGAGTCAGATAAAATATCTTTATTAAAAACATATTTACAAAAATTCAATTCATTAAAAAAAAAATCCTAAACAATTTAATCATATACACACTGCAAATAACAAATTATGAACGAGGGTATATCATTAACCAGTGGAAACAAATTGGGAGTGTTTGAAGCATATGAAAAACAAAATAATATGTAGAATAAAATAGGAGAAAATCGCTGAAGGAATTTACAAAGATTGGTGTGCTTGCATTTAAAACACTACATACAAAATAATAATTAAAAAATAATAAATATAAAAGCGATCACAATTTCCGCTTTCACAAAAAATAATTAAAAAAAAAAGAAGGAGGTTAAAGGGATTTCGTTTTGGATGGATGGGGGGATTCAATTTTCTGGATGACTAATGTACAAAATAAGAGACAAGGAAGAGACGAAACATAAAAATTCCTTAAAAACTAGTGACTTTGCCGTCGTAGGTTGGTGGCGGCGCAGAAGAAAATCGTATTTACAAGGGGGGGTTTAGGGTTGGTTCGGTGGAATGGTTGATACTTTTTTCTTTTGTTTTTTCTCTCTTTAAAATTTGGCTGGAGGAATTGGATGGAATTGGTTCGGAGGATGTGCGCGGAATTATCCGGCGTAGGCGGAGACCTCGGCGTGAGCTTCACCGCCGGTGGCGGCTGCTCCACCGCCTCCGCTGAGACCGCCCAAAAGGGAGCCGATGTTGAAACCGCCGTGGCCGCCGCCGGAGAGTCCACCGGAACCGGAAGTGAGTGTCTGCACGGCGACGCCGATCAGTGGTCCGGCGGCTTCCAGTTTCTTGCCGATCGCGCCGGAAATGACGCTAGAGAGACTAGTGACCGGATCCTTGGGTGCTTCGATTCCGTGCTGCCTGTTCTTGGCAATGTTGGTCCTGTCCAACTGGTCCACCCAATGGGTCTTCTGGTCGATGAACGAATTGATTTTCTGCAAGTTTCGTAGTGCGTTTTTGTTTTTTACTCTTTCTTTCTTTTTTGGTTTCAAATCGTTTGCATTTGCTTTTGTTATTTCATCGCATTCTCAATATGACACTTTCAATGTTAATACAAGCTACGTTCAATGAAAATCCGAAAATTCCTATAATACATAATGAAAGCATACTCACGTTAAACACAAAGCCCAAAATTGCGTTCTTCACTCCGAATTTCACATCCTGGTGTCTCTTATCCCTCACATTGTCATCGGAATCGATTTCCTGCAATCAAATAGAAAAAAATTGAATTAATCAAAACAAAAGTTGTTTTTTTCAACAAATTACATAAAATCTCTCAAGCAATGTATGTTCATTATGTTTTTGTTCATATCTTTCGCATTTTCTGTTTCATGGATTCACTAAATATACATTTTAACGATGTATCAACTTCAATATGTATATTACTTATTTCCTTATTTTATGATTGCTAAAAATATATTAATTAATAATATTATTATTTAACATATTAATACACATTAACCATAGATTATATAAATATATATTTTTTACAAATTTATGTATGCAAACTGCTTCAATTATTTAATATTTTCTAGTATTTTTTCTTCCTTTTTATAGTTAAAAAACGTGAGATTAAACTGATTAACAATCTTCTTAATTAAAAAATATAGTTAATATAGTTTCGATAATATTACGTGTATGAGAATAATTCTGATAACATTCATTAACAAAATCTATTAAAAAAAGGTCGAATAATCCATAAATTACTGATCTGAATTGCTGTTATGCAATATTATTTTTATATAAATATTTATAAATTATTCATGTTTTTGCGTTTTTGTTTACTTAACATCTCAAAAACTGTATTCGTTAAAAAATAAACGTAAAAAAAATAATATTAGTTATTATGTAATGGAAATGTGACTTACTTTTTTGTATATCAAATTACAATAAATTATAAATATTTTTCTATTTAAGTTCTATAGCTAGTTGGTGATGGTGATTCTTTGCTTTAATTGTATTAGAAGGTAATAGATATAAGTCTAAATATTTTAGTTTATTGGCAATATATTAATTTTAATGATGATGATAAATATTTACAAATCAATTCGTAAAACGAGAACAACTTTTCTTAATAAATACGTCTGACCTCAGATTGACTTATATTCGAATTGTAGAATTCGTAAAATTGTATATTTTCTGTAATTATAAAAGTAATAAGTGGATAAATCATGAGTAAAAACTGATTAAATTGAATTTATTACTTGTTTTTAAAAGAAGCATGATTTACGTTGCGAATTTGGTATACGTGAAAGTTGCATTACGCAACCAATGCTATTTACGTTCGATTAATAAAGCGGAGGAGGAGAGCAAAAAAAAATATTCCTCTTCGAAGGAAACCGAGTATTGCACAATGGAAGGATGTGAAAGAATATCGGTATATTCCTTCCTCTTTCCGTGTAAATCGACAATTGTTCATTTAATTAATGCAAATGTTCAGTAATAACCACTAAAAGCAGCAGCATCTTCTGCACCGTTTTCACCTCACTTTCTAAACACGTCTTCAGCTTCATGCATCCAACATCTGGTCGAAAACCCAAAGAAACCAGTTACATGTCGTTACGCAACTTTCCAGTCTTGATAAAAATTGCCGAAATGTAAATTAGATATTGCGACCGATTCGGATTGCGAAACGGATTTACACTGGAACGCGTTTTAGGGAAAGGCCGAACGATGGAAGAATAAAATTAATGAAACATGTGTGCGCGTACAAGTGCAGATTCGAAATGTTAAATTGATAATTAACGGGTTTGTTGCGCAAGCTTTTGCAGATTGAAAGAAAACGAGAAAATTAAGTAAAATTTGTTAAACGAAACGAAAGTTGCTTCGGTTCAGAAACACGTGTAGGAATAATTCGGACGGAAATTAGTCTAATTATTATTCAGTTTATTACCTACTCGGTTTACGTAATTATTAAACTGATATTTCCGAGATTCATGGTTTAAAAAAGATTCAGCTATAAATATTTATAGATTTATTTTTAGTGTTAAAGTAATTAATATATTTTAATTGCTGCTCATTATAATGAATAAAGTGTGTATTGTGAGGGCGCGAGGTCAGATGTTTAGAATGGCTAGAAAATGAATGTCGTTTGATTTTATTATTTGCTTTCATTATGATTAATATCGGACTTTTTGCTCGTAACAGGGCGATCGATATAGAAAGGACTGTTTTCGTTTTTTTTTTGTTCTCTTTATGTTTGCATTTGCTTAAGGCCGTTTAGTCACGTTGCATTTTGCGCTGCAACTTTCATCGAGATCGACCGTTCCTTTCTATGTGTCTTTCTCGCTTCGACTAATTGGCTGGCAACTAGTAAATAAGCAAGTAAGTAAATCGTTTTCCGCACTTGGTACATCCGAGAAAGTGCAATTTTCCGCTACACACAGTTTGCGATGGGTTTTACGATGATCACCATTACACTTAATAACATTTATTTTTGTTTTGTATCATTTCTTGCGAATTGCAGCTATTTCAATTGTTAGAGAAAATGAATGCAAAGTTTTCTTTGATAATTCAGTTGACAGTGAAACGAAATTTCACTTTGAACTACTTAGAAATTCCACAATTGTTGTGTGTATATAAACATTGTTTTCACTGTCTCTAATTTTCACATTATTTTCTATTTTTCTTTTCTTTTAGTATATTCAAATAAACATTTAGTGTCTTTCTCAAATATTCATTTAAGAAATTCCAATAATGAATTTGTATAAACAAGTTAATTCAAGATTCTTTACAAGTTTGTACCTTTTCTTAGCACCTGTAACAAAAGTTCTCTGATTACAATTGTAAATACCTGTGAAAATTTTTAACTATTAAATGCTTTTACAGTGAAATGAATTTTAATATTCTGTATAATATATTCCACCTGTGATAAAATACCTCTCTTTTAATTAAAACAACTGCTGTTGAAGTACAACATCTCACTTGATTAATTAAAAAAATACATTTATTCATTTGTATCTGCTTAATGTAAATTAAGGAATTTATGTGATCTATACTACAAGAATAAATAAATATAAATAATTATACCGATGTCTTTCACATTAATCAACGTAAATATATACATATTTTACTTTCAATTTGATGACATTTAATGCACGTTTTAATATTTTAATATTAAAGCTTATTATCTCGCAATTTTGATCTTTCATTATTGCTGAAAAAAGTGCTCATTTTTAATTTAAATATATAAAATGATTAAACTTAATAATTGAAGCAAATACAGCAGTACCTCGCAAAGTGCGGTTAATCGTTTCAATGATTTTATAAATATAAAATTACACAAGATAAAATTCTTTCGATTATTTATGTATTCTAAATAATGATGTGTACTAATTTCTGAGAATTTATTTTTATTTAGTTCAATTAAAATTGTATAGTCAATTAGCACTGATTGAAACCGCACTGTGCGAGTAATTATTTGACTTAAAATAAGTACCTGATATATATATATAAATAAAATTTCCATTTTTTTATTGATCGATATTATCAATTAGGAAAATTTTAATGAGATTTTCTCTGAAGTTTGATTCCATTTTGATTAACCATTTTTTTTCTTTAAATTTATTAGCGTAGAAATTACTGAAACGTAGAAATTGGTTAATTGATTTAATGAGTCTTAAAAAAAACATCAAGACCATTAACAACTGTTAGTTTCCATTAAATATAAGTTTCTTACATTTTATATAGAACCATATAGAACCATTTTGTTAACATAATAATTAAGAAATGCATACGGCAATACCTCACATAGTGCGGCTTCAATTAGTACGGAAACACAAATTTTAGTTAAGAAAAATATAAATAAATTCTTAAAAATAGTACATAATTGATTTTTTTGTCTGTCAAGTAGGTTTTTGTACGTTTTAAAGTGCTCGATTTGTCCAGTTTATTACACTAAGCGAGGTATTCTATACAAAATTAATGGATTCAGTTTCCTCTATTACTAAAAGTTTCGTAAGAAAAATGATCATGCAATTTGTTTCGTTAGTTTACATAAAACCTCAATCAATTGAGGTCGAAAGAACAATAATTGATAGACGGTTATGGTCCATTGGAAACCATTGATTTGCACGTATTCTAAATGGATTTTATTACTATCTGATGATAGATCTTTGCATCCACTAAAGTATCTTTAAACAGTAGTAATAAATTGCTGAATAATCGCAAGATTAGTAATTATAATGGATCGATATTGAAATACTTGCAAGAATTCGATTGATTAACAACTGAAACTGAATGAACTCAACTTATTGCAAAGGCCAACTAATTACGACCAAGAATTAATCGCATCATTTGTGTAATGACTGCGATCTATTCAATATGCATATTGTGTTAATGAAATGATTAACCAATTGCGTTTCGCACGTTCCACTAGAAAAAAAAAAACGTGCATTTCCATCGTGCATTTTATTAATTAGCAGCGATATTTGATGGTCCCATAGAACAAATATCGTCATATATATTTAATAGTGCATTGTTCGTATTCGTACTCACATTGTATTATTTTCGGTTTCGTTATTGACTCTTTGGCAATAGTTTTAATGCGCAACCGATGTTCCTCGCAATTATGCAACAACGAAGTGTGTACGAGGTCTTGATAACAACGTTAGTGGTCATTGAGGAAATTTTAATGCGTTTTTTGAATGATTCTTTTCTATTTCTTTTTGTTTCTTTTCCATTATCGAGTTTTCTATTTGTTGCTTTTCCAAAACCTCATTGTCGTATTTGCTGAATAACCGTTTTCTCTTCTTTTTATGGAAACGCTTGCAATGGATTTACTCAATCGTTTTTTTTTTTTTTTTTATTATAATTCATTATTAGAAATAAGAATAAATTGTTAAATTGCGTAACGGCTTTCAACATCTGTCCGTGACGTTAATTAAATGATAAATTTTAATGACGCCTACTCTGAATTCTCATAAAAACTAATTTATTATGAACATTATTCATATTTATGTTATTTTCAACGCATAATTGTAATTATAATTCAATTTAACAAGTCAGGTTTTTGAAGTAATTATTTATAGTCTTGTAGTAACTTAAATTATTGAATTAAATTGAATTATTATAAAAAGTTTTTTTCTAAATTCAAAGTTTCTACTCATGCAAATTATCTATACAGTAATATTTCGCATAGTGCGGTTTTGATAAGTGTGGAATCACTATAGTACGGTTTAAAAATTTCAAAACAAACTAAATTGTATGTGAGCAAAAAAAAAAAAAATTCTAAATTATGAGTACATTTTTTTATACATAAGTGATCAGTTTTATTCCTCTATAGTCAAGTCAATTTTGTGCTGTTTTGAAGTCCGGTTTCAAATAGTGCGGAACTGTTTACCCGCACTATGCGAGGTATTGCTATATTCCAGTTTATTTCAATATCTATCATCCATCTAAGTATTAACATTCGCTTAATTTTTATAAACTATCAAATTGTTTTCAAACTTTTGTTACATTTGTTACATAACATTCTTAGAGCGAAAAGATATTGACCGATGTTATTATTTTAATTATCTCCGACATTGATCCGATTGTTATGCAACAGTTGCGTGAGGTGATCCAGTTCTGCTAAAATTAAAATTGAGAGTTTAAACGCGTGGATCATGCAAGATTTACGAACAAAAATCTGTGTTAATTCGGCATATGCAGTGTAAATAGAAGCGAAGGCTATATAACTTAACAATTCCTTTCATTCCAAAAGTCGTTTCGTTTTCCACACAACAAGGATTTTGTTAATATAGCATTATCAAATTGATGTTGTAATAATACTTATTTCACGGTTCAAATCACAACGTTTATATATTTAATAGGATTATTATGCTTTTTTTTTAAATTTAAATTTGAAATTTATTCATAACAAAAAAAAAACAATATTTGCATAAACGATCATTAATTAAGTAAAGTGTAAACTTGTTACTTATTAACTATAATTAAATTCAATACTTGTGTAATTTTATAATTATTAAAGTTAATTTTATTATTGCAAGAAAATATTTTTAATTTAGGTCTTCGATTCTTCAACATAAGTTTTGAGAGATTACCTAAGATCAAACTAGCTTTAATAACCATAAGTCTCTCGTATTTACTGTGATTTATTATCTAGTATATTGCAATATTATTGGTAAGTTTACAATCAAGTTACATTAATTGCTAATGCGTAAATCACTCAATTAGTTTGTTTACAATTGCTCAACAAAGTGTGTTCTTGTGTTATTGAGCAATGCAAATAAAATTCCGATTCTTTCGTAACATATGGACATTTAGTATTTGATTTATATGAAACTATATAAAAAAAAATATATGTTTATTACTATGTATTACTCAATATGTTTTACCTAGATCATTGATTATATTATAATAGAAGAAAAGGTTAGTGACACAAAAATGTTAAAAGTTTCACTTTAAACGGTTTTAAATTACATTAATTGACTACTATGTCATGTTACAAACTAATCACTTCAATAACTAGTGTTATTATTATAACTTAAACTAGTAAGTACAAATATGAATCATAATATACATTTGTAAATTTCTGTTTTTTACGATCATTGAAGTCTCTTGATCATGGATTTTTTTTTTAAATTTAGTTTATTCAATTACTAAGTAACATATTACTATTTATGAGTGAAATATTCAGTATACGTTAATTTAATTTTATGATCTTAATTATGAAATTTACATTAATATAAAAGTTATTCAATATTTTACTATTTTTACCAAATTAAGATTAATTTTATAGTATAACAAAATAGATTTTTTTAAACTTACTCAATTAATTTTCTTCTTATATAACACTAAAATAGGCTGTGATTATATAACCATTCAAGTGATAAATATTTTTTTTATGATGAATACTTATTTTGTTGTTACTAATAACAATCAATATAGAAACGTAATAATAATGAAACGGTAGTTAATATAATAACGTTATGAGTATGTGATTTAAATTTGCTTAAGAAGTTGGCAGAATTGTATTGAAAATACGTAATGCATGCTTTCTCATCGAGCATTAAACTCTCCACATCAAAAACGTAAGCAATTTAAAACTTCTTGTCCTGTATAACAATCGTATGAAAATATGTCTAAATGCAGGTTTCCTCATCGAGCATTAAACTCTCCATGTCATAAACGTATTTATACACATATTTAACTCACAAAATTACAAAAACTTAAAAAAAAGAATGTCTGAATTTAACTACAAATTAAATAAAAGATGTTCATATTAAATAACGTAACACAACGATTTCATAACACCGAAGAAAGTAAAAAAAATTCTTTTTTTTTAAACAACAACAGAAAAAAAACGTCGAAATTAACATTCTCGTTTTCGGCTCGAATCATTTTCGGAGGTTACGTAAAAATTGAGATAAATGCCCGCAATTACGGTGAGAGATGAAAGTGCGAATTTGAGCGTGATGATGATAATAATAAGGTTTTCTTGTAACTAAACAAAAAAGGATAATGAAAATAAATATGCACTTTCTATTGGAATGCAATGCTGCAAGAAGTCGCGGGAATTTACGAACGAAAGTGAGAGCGAGCGACCTTCAAAAAAAAATATATACGCACACGATAATAAAATAAACGCTTTCCGTTTCCGGTTTAATCCAATGAGTGACTTAATCTTATAATTATATAAGTTATGACAATTTTATAATATGATTAATTTTAATTTTCATTTCATAAGTTATGTCGATTATATAACGAGATTTGGTTTTCGTTGAATTTGATGTAACGTTTTCGCTTTAATTCGATGAATAATTTATGTTATATAAGTGTTTTCTGTTTGAATTTTTGTTGATTTGGTTCAAGGCGGTTCGCAACATTAAACTGCAATCTAATTTTCACCGAATTTTTAATATGGATTTAATAACTTGTTGATATTGCGGTAATCTGTGGCCCAAATACGAGGCGAGGAAACGAAAGCAAATTGCTAAAACGTTACGTGATCCGAGTTTACAGGAGAGTGAGAGAGAGATTTGTGCAAATTTGTGCGAACTGTGACTTACCTGCAGGGCTGGATCCAGGTTGGCGTCGTACGTGTCCCTTTTCTCGAGAGTCCTCGCGCTGGCCAGAGACGCAAGAACGGCCAAACCGACCGCAACCAAAACCACGGACTGCCTCATTGTAGATGTTGCAAAAAAATAAAAACTGGAAATAAAGCAAACGAGAGATTAGGGTTTTTGTTTGCTTCTGTTGATATCGGCGTTGTTTCACATCAAACTTTTATAGAGGGTTTTTTTTTTTGATTTGATGGAGGAGACGGTGGTGGTGCACGCGTGGGTCTTCCAGGAAGGACGTTGATGCACTGCCGATGGTTATTGGTTTGGTTATTGAATGGGTGCACTCGAGGAGTGTGTGTGTTGTTATGTTGTTAGTTAAGAGGTGATCGAGAGAAGAACGGGGCTTCTTACAGTATGCGTGTGTTGCGGTCTGGAAAGTGAATGCTTTAATGTATTAAAGTTCTTCTTATTTCTAGCAGGGTCTATGTAGGTCGGCCGTAGTCGGCAAGCGCGCGGTCAGATGTCGTTTGGCTTTAAGAAACTGTTAAGGTGGGAATTTAAAGGTGTCAAGGAGGGTATCCTAAGACTCGAGTGCGCACCCGTTTACACTTGAACTTGCCCCACGTAAAGATTAGAGCCAAACACGAAAACACCCACCAAAAAAAAATCCACCCCCCCATCAACAACAACAAATTGCAATCGGTCATTTTCGGAACGATCATTACAAGAAACGCTTCGAAAGTCAAGCAACCTTGAAAATACCATAAAAAAAAAATATTACAAAAAAAAAATTACAATGTCATTTCCATTAAGCCTATTTAAAATGAAAATTGCACAATTATAAATATACATATTCATTTTTTTTTTCCTCTTCCTATACTATAAAAAACTATCTTGACATTCAACTGTTTTATTATATTCTTTCATTTTATTTGAACAATTAAAGGCAGAAACGTGCTTTCATTTTGGTAAAAGTTTGTTACAATTATCATAAGGAAAACACAAATTACGTGCAGTTTAAGAAATGTCTTTATTACATTACGGAAGAAGTGAAAATAATGAATGGAATTAATGAACTATATATATTTTGTAACGTTGTTAATTGTATAAACAAAATATAAGATTATTTAATTCAATAAAAAAAACATAGAATTTTAAAATCAATAATATCATCAACTATATAAGTGTAATAGAGTATAAAATTAATACAATTTAAATTCAAATTATCAAAAAAGAGTCACATGAATATTACAATTATTTAACTCGATAACATTATAGACTGTAACAGAATAATAAAGTTACAATAAATAGTGATAGTAATTGATTCTATGCACTAATTGTAAATGTAAAATATAATTGTTACATCATTATTTAATACAAACTTTTGTGAATATTCTTAAAAAATTACATTTAATAAAATGTAGGAAAAAGTCAAAACACACATACGATTAATTATGTTCTTAATGTTATAAACTGTATTAGAATAATAAATTTAAGTTGAAAAGTTCAATTAATTATTGTAATTTGTTAACTTTTTGGTCTAAATTGTGACCAATAGAAATGTTTAAATAAAATGAATGTAATATTATATACATAATATACTTATTTCGTTACTTTTCAATGCGTAATTTTATGTATTATATAAATGAGCAATACTTTTATTTTATTATTGAACTTAAATAAGTTAGATGAATTAACTTATAGGTCGAATATATTACGAAAAATATATGAATAATAAAGTTAAGTTGAAAAGTGAAAATAATGAGTTTAATTAATTATTTTCAAGTGCATAATATAACTGTTACGTTAATTCTATATGCGTAATTCTATAGATTATATCATTGATTAATTAGAATATTAAGTATATCGTTAGGCTATTGACGTCTGTTCACGGAACTTTGCATAATTCATATCAAATTTCGACATTCATTTCCAATATTAGAAAGGTGAATAATAATAATTTTATATTCAAAATATAGCAGATATATGTAACACGTATTTTAATACTATAAAATATATTTGATAATTATGTTTAAACTAATAAAATTTTAGAAATTTGTAAAAGTCATGAATGTGAATTTTTTACTAATAAATGCAAAATATAATTTCATTGATAGAACGTAAATAATAATCGTAAACAATATGATTAACAAAATAACTATAATTAAACAAAACAGTTTTATAATAAATGAAATAAAAGTAACTGAATTGTAATATGAAAACATATACTATATTTTTTAAATTAAATACCATATAATTGGTGAGAAATTATCTGTTTTATTTACTTATTTAAATAAATTTAGTGGCCACAACTTGGGGAAATCAGTTGTGTAATTGTGTAACTGTGTTATTTTTAGTTTTATATTAATTAATAAATATTTTACCCGGCGCGTCCACCACACTATTGCTATATTTTTAATTATATCAATAATTCATAGTTTTGGAAATAGTTAATATAAATTATTATTTATAGAATATTATATAAAGTAAACTCGTGCAATTATTTTGTATGGCCGATTTTATAGAAGTTTAAGTATTAATCTAATTAAACATCAGAATTTATAATGAACTTTGTTTTTGAAAATATATTATGCCATAAGTAATTATTTATTAATATCATAAATTGGATAGACATTTCATTTTGAAGTTTTACAGTATAAAGTGCACCAGTTTTTATAATACATTTTATCAAAATTTTATAATAATTGTATGACTAATAAATACTATATAAATTAGTTTATAAATCTTAATTTCAACTGTGATACCATCTTCAGACAAAAGTTTTAGTAGTTCAACTGAAAATTAATATAATTGTCAAAAAATTGGACAACATCCAAAAAGTTTGTTTGTCGAAACAGAACAATTCTGAATTTAATTTCCTTCTTGGAATAGTATTTTGAGCGGTAAATTTATCATTCATAAATTTATCTGTAACATCAGCATTAAGTAATTTACTTGTGCACTTAAAGCTTTTACTGTCAATTGTATAGATAGCAATGCAGATATTATATTAATTTTGTTTTGAACGAAGGACCAAGTTGCGCGGGTGAATGGAAGAAATCGGTTGGAGGTTCAAAGATTAACTAGAACTATACTCTCGATGCTAACTTAAGACTCTCTTAATACTCTATTCAACTACTAAAATAATAATACTGTTTAACTACTAATTAACCAATGCTCTTCTCCTTGCTTAACTCCTCCGAGCTAAGCTTCCTCGACAACTTCATGGTCTCACATTAACAACCACTGTTGTGCTGAAACAAATTTTATTGTCTAAAAACGAAATTTAATTATTTAAATCAATAAAACGTACTCTTTCAAATTATTTTAATTGACAAAATTTTTCAACAAAATCTGTCCATGTCGACCAAAATTAAATAAATTCCTTCTTAAATGTATACAAATAAAAGTACTTTTGAAAAACATGTACAACAACAATATCCGAGTAAAAAAACACAGCAATTACCGATATTTACCAGTTATTTCGGTAAAAATATTGGACGGTAAAACTGTAAATTAAGAGTGATGATACACGAAATAGGTTTGTATGTTTAGTTACTGCATATTTACTTGTATATACATCCTATCCATCCTCTATATTAATACTGTTTTAGGTAATGAACTGCTACGGTCATTACCTAAAATACAATAGAATAAATAAAATTGACATATTGGATAAAATTGGATATTGTACAACTATTTACAATCTTAATAAGATCATGAGAATTATTTACTTGCATTCTTTATATGTAGGTAGTCTGTAGTAAATTATAGTAATCTTAAAACCTATTACTGTCTCTATATATGGCATCTATTAATCACCACTTTCTTTTGAAGTAGCTAAAGGAATCAGCGACTCAGCGATTATGATCTTGTATATTATATAATGCAGACTTCCGGTTTTGATTCGTAATACATCTTCGATAACACGAAATAATGTGATTCAAGCTTTTCAAAACAAAATAATTTATTCATTATTCCACACACTTTATTATACAATTATTTTATATCCATTCAGCAAAAAAAAATGAGTTTAGTTAAAATATACTTAAAATAGCATAAAAGATGTAACATAATGATTTCTTATAAATTATCAAATAATTATTATAATTTGTAAATCAATTATCATAATTAAATTAATAGAGTATAAGAAACTAAATTTGAGTAATTAAATGAATTAAAGACATCTGTTTCTTTGTTCTTTTATGTAACCACATGTCTTCCAATTACACTTTTCATTTTTCCATCGAAAATCGTGCAGTGAAAGTTTATTTTATCGATGTTATATACGATCGTCATTACAAAAAGTACAGTAATAACTGTTAAATCAGGTGGATCATAAAAACAAATAATTGTAACAGTTATATAGAAAATAAAGAAAAATAATTATATTTTTATAATTTCAATCATAACAATAAAAAAAATGTTTGTTTTAATAAATTCAATAATTCTTGTAATATATCATTAGTTTATATTAATTATAATTTGCGTTAATTTCATCTAACCATTTATTTCACCATACCATTTATTAGCATCTAGTTCCTAAAGTATAATAAATAAAATTGTAAAAAAAAACTAAAATTATAATTTTTTTATTTACTATTGTTTTTCGATCATTTTTGTAAGGAAAAAATTCATTCAGAAATATTTTTTTAGCAAGAAAGTTATGCGGTAATCAATGGAGCTGTATAAATCTTCTATAAAAAAAATATACACGTGAACATATAGAAAAAGCCTTGTACACATTTTTTACACAATCCGTATATTTCTTAATAAAAACATTTTAATATACAAATATTGAACTTTATCTCGCTGTGTGATATATTGCTTCATCGGGTTACTATATTTTTTTTTATATGCATTCTTTCTAACAATAAAAATACCATGTAACAATCTGTTAGCAACATTTTAAATGGAAATATACAAAATTATAAAAGAAACGTGTTTCCAGAATCATCTGTTAAATTTTATACAAAAAATATAAATTATGTTGTAATATTTTAAATAACATGTTTTTTAATACAAATTGTTTGATACTAAATTCAGTTTCAGTTTATATTTTTTTTGAATTTACCATCTTTTATTAAAAGCTATATATAGATGAATTAGTACACAAAGTACAATTATTTGTAATATTTTTGTATGTATTTAGTGGCAAAATTATCCGGACTATGTGAGGTATTCCTGTACTTTTAAAAAAATGTTAACAAAACTCGGCAAAATTCGTAAAATGAAGAAATACGAGAACATCCAAAACTACATAAAATAAAGGAATTTTCCTTAAGATTAAGCTTTTCATTAAGAATATTTATGATTACTATTGTTACACGCATACTTTTAGGAAAATATACTTCACTTTGCAATGAAGTTTGAAATTACATTTTC